TTTTTTTTTTTTGGTTTTATGGTGCTTCCAAGCCTCCTCAGAGGCTTCTTGTTGATGTTGGCCCTTTGATTTTTGTTTTCTCAATTTGTGGTCTTAAAAATAGAAACAGTGAGTCCATTGATAAAAAAACGTTTGCCGTTGAGTTGACTTTAACTCATGGGGACCCCATGTGTGTCATAGAAGAACGTGCTCCATAAGGTTTTCAAAGGCTGATATTTTAGCAGTAGATCACCAGACTTTCTTCAGAGGTGCCTCTGGGTAGACTTAAACTTCCAACCTTTCAGTTAGCAGCCAAGTGTGTTAACTGTTTGTACCATCCAAGGACTCTGTTCATTGATGTGTTGTTGTTGTTGGGTGCTGTTGAGTTGATTTTGACTCATAGTGACCCCATGTAACAGAGTAGAACTGTCCCATAGGGTTTTCTAGGCTGTAATCTTTACAGGAGCAGATTGCCAGGTCTTTCTTCTACAGAGCTGCTGGGTGGGTTTGAACCACTAAGCTTTCAGTTAGCAGCCAAGTGCTTAACCGTTGCACCACCAGGGCTCCTTGTTCATTGATACACTGGTGTTTAAATGAGATCTGGGTTTATTGGCAAGGCTCTTCGTCATTTAGGCAATCCTGTTGATTAGAATTGTGTTGCCATAAACTTTAATTTTCTTCTCCTTCCTACAGTGACCAAAATCAAAGAGATATTTTTCAGTTTTTTCTTCTTTAACATGAATAATTTGCATATGTAAAAAAGAGAGGGACTCGTGATGCAGCTGCTCTTAGAAAGTCCCCTGGAGCCCACCTAGGCGAGAGAGAGGCAGAGGCCTGTCACTGGCTGGAACGTGATGGATTAGTTGGGAGCCACTAATTGCAAGTGGGTAGGTGATCTTGTCTTCATCCAGATGGACTCCTCTAAATTAGAGGGAAAAACATGGTGAGAGTTCAGTTAACTTAGCGATGTGAAGTAGTGTTTTTTGTTTGTTGTTTTTGATGGTAATTGCAGCAATTATAGGAGTATTTGTTTTCTTCCTGGAGGCAGAGTATTTGGTCCATTCTGGATTCTTTTACCAACCCACAGTGTCACTTAGGGATCCTCTTGATTTTCTTTTGCCCTAATTTTTCTGTCTATGAAATGGAAATTTCATCTGACTCCAGACATGTAGTGAAGGTTGATGAGAGATTTGAGGTTCCTGGATCACAAGACACTCTGTAAATTCTAAATGAGAACATGCTAATCATGACCCATGGGGATAGGGTTAAGTGCAGTTCTATAACTTCTTTTCAACTTTTCATTTATCCTTGTGGTTGCGAAGAAAAGGTTTAATAGCCGTTACTGATTTTCATGTGACTCTAGGGGCCCGTCTCCAGCCATCTTTTGGGATTTAAAAGCTTCACCATGTGATGTTCCATCATTTACTCTACTGGATTCACTGGGTGGAGAAGAGCATAAATAGTTCTGTTAAAAGTTAATGTACATGCTTAGGGTCGTGCACATTTTCCCTAAGAATATCCAAGCATCTGAGTTGGCTGATGGCTAAGCTCTACGTTGGTGATAAGAACCTTGAACTGCCACATCCGCACTCATGTTTATATGCTTTCTAAAACCTACCTATGGCAGGATGGGGCTACGGAGTTAGAAACTACACAGATGTCTAAATGCTTAATGCTCAGCCAAAAAGCATATTGGCCAGGGAAGGCATGAGTTAGGGAAATATGATACGTGATTCTTTTTATTGTGGTTGCCAGTGTTTTCATGGGAAATAGAATCACTGGAAGATTCTTACTTGAATTCTCCTAGTGATAAAATTGAGAAGTTAGAAATGGTTAGTCATTATCAGAAGGAAGAAAAGGGTATTGTATCACTGCTCATTTGAGTAGCATCACTGTGAGCTGGAAAGACTGGGATGTTATTTGAGGGCCCCAGAATTTCCCATATTAAGTGTAAGATTTATTTCATATCACAAACCCAAGGTGTTGGCTCCATTGGATACTCCTGTGCGCTTAGGAATCAATGTGCAGGAATATTAAAATTCACATTTATTTAATTCTTAATATGTGTTGATAACATTATCTTTTTTAACTTTTTATTTTGGAATAACTTCAGACTTAAAAAAAAGTTGCAAGAACATTACAAAGAATTCCTGTATATATTCTCTCTCTC